GGGAGCAGAGCAGTGTGATAGAAGGAGCATGAGCTTCAGGACCAGGCAGACCTTGGTCAAAGTCTGCTTCTCAAACTAGGGCTATGGGTGGTCTACTTAACCTCCCTGAGCCTCAGTTTCCATATCTGTAAAAGGCTAACAGCAAACTTGTGAGGTTTAGAGTTGGTGAATATAGAGTGTCTAGCCCACAAGTCTTTGTGGAAGGAAAGATGGAGGGAGAGAGGGAGAGAGGGAGGTGAGGGAGGGAGGGGAAAGGCGGGAGGACATACAGAGAGGCTGTCTCTAAAACCATTCCATTTGAGGAGCAGCTGAAGAAAGTAGAGCTGCTCAAGCCTGAGAAAAGCATGACTATCAAAGGTTTATGTGGGACAGGTCCAGCAGACAGCGTAAGGGGAGAAAGGACAGGACTCTGCAGGGATGCGAGAACCCCCAAATGGAGTGGACTGGCTTGAGGGGCAGCAATCTTCCCATCTCTAGAGGGGTCCATCTGAGGTCTCACAGACTGCATGGGAGGGACTCCCCTGTTGAAAGTTTCTCAGCCTTTACTCAAGGAGTCACTTAAAACTCTTTCTTTAGCCTTAGTCTGAGCTAAATATCCATTAAAAACAAACAAGCACGTTTGATATGATATCTGCATTTTTTTTTATTATACATATACTTAAAACAAGTATATAACTAATAAAATAAAAGATGCTATATGGGACCCACCTAAAAACATCTCCCTCACCACTATGAGAAATGTGCTCTATTGGGTCTGAATCCAAACTACACAGGCTCCAGGGGCCCCCTCTGGGGCCATGATTCTGTTATCTGAAGGCTGCTTGAATGCTGATAATGCTCTTCATTTTTGTAACCCGTTCTGGTTTCCTAGGCATTTTCTCATCTGTGTATTTCATCTAATCCCCATGACAACCCAGAGGGCTGGGCAGAGAAGTCACAGATGGTGCCTGAGTGCCCGCAGCACAGGACCCATCCAAGACCCTCTAGTCACAGAGGACTGGAATCAGAGCTCCAGTCTCCCAACTCTCCACCCCACCCTCCTTCATTCTACCACTCCATGCTGCACACTCTCAAAAACCTCATTAACAAGAAAACCCAGATGTGGATCAAGATGTTTTATCCATCTAGGTGGCCGGATACCAGGCTCTCTTGATGAGAATATGCCTCTGTCAGACCCAGAATGTCACCTCAGCAACCAGTAATCACCCACATTGTCATTTGGCCGTTGGCCATCAGCAGGCCCCACCTCATAAAGCTACAAAGAATGCTAAATGACAATAACAGGGACATTAAGAAGCTAAATACACATTGTTACTTCATGACCCCTACAAGATGGATGGCTTCAGAAAGCTGCCTTGGATCATGCTAACATCGAAAAGGGCCTAAGGGCTCAGTGGTGGGGGCAGTCAAAGAGGGCCAGGGGGTGGTCTCTGGGGGTAGGCAAGACAACCTCATCACGCGCAACCAGAATGCTACCTAGAAGACTGGAAACGCGCACCAAGAAATGCATGGCAGGCACCAAGCAGTGCAACATGGCTGTCATCTTGGCCTGTCTGAGCATGAGGGGGCAGTAGCATTGCCCTCTTGTTCAGAGTTTCACAAGACAGACCTGCTGGCTGACTGCACAGACTTCAACACGGGCTGAGAACTGACAACCATCTCACTCGATTTTCATTCTTGACATCTGTCTCTACCACGATGGCATGCTGGCCCGGCAGGCAGAGTGACACAATAGGTCCCAGGTAAACAGTGAAGTAATGTGGCTTAGGCCAGGGGATCTAACCTGGGATCCAGGACTCGTTTTCAGAGATCCATGAATCCCTGGAATGTATGCCTACTTTTGTAGATCCAAGCAACTTTTCTCTGGACATCTTATTGACATATTAAAGAAGCTGTGACCCAAGAAGGTCAAATCCATCCACTGCTCTGCACATCAGACCCTCAGCCTTCTCAGCTGCCTGTCCCATACAGGAACTTGCTGTAAGTGGCACTAGTATCCCACCCCCTGTGTACAGAGGCCTCACATGAGCTGAGAGCATCTTTGGGAGATCTAAACTCTGCTCAACCCACTATACCTTGGGCTTTGTTATTTGTAGTCAAAAGCATCCCCACTGATCTAGTACTATAGGGCCAAGTGGCATCACCCAAGACCATGAGGGTTGGCAAGGCCTCAGAGTCCACCAACAAAATTCCCCTCAAAGCTTTTATTCTCTGCTCAGCCTCTAGACAGTGGGCACTTGCCAGATGCCCGAGGGCACACAGGGAGCTCACTCAGCTCCTTCCTTTTTCTCATCCCCAGACAAAAGTAACTAACTGTACCTTATGGCCAGCTGGATGCCTGCCCTGGGCCTGGCAGGTACAGAGCTTCTGGAACTCAATGCGCACCCTCTCGATACCTGAGAACATCCCAGCTTTGCACAAGAATGTGTTCCCACTTAGCTCACATGAGTATGGTTTGTATAAATGACACAATTCTCATGAGCAGGTATGTTTTCAATCACTTGCAGGGAGGCACACTCCATTTGGGGCATTTCACGGGTAGAACAATGATCATACCAGATGTGAAATATAAAATGGAGGTCACATTTCCCTGAGAACTCATTCGATCCAGTAGGCTGGTCAACATGCAGTTCTGACTGATGTTAGAGCCAGTCACCCCAGGAGCTAGTTCAGCTCGTCAGAGCCCAGTGGTCCTCCCCAGTTCCAGGTCATCAATCAAGCTCAGGAACCAACCCCAGGGATAACTGACTTGTTGATTTATAAACAGCTCAGATAACTGAAAGCATGAAATACCTGTGGTTAGAGCTAATAATAAGTTATACCTGTCACAAAAATGTCTTATGTAGGTGAAAACATGAGTACGTAGTGGAAAAATACAAATTGCCTTACCCAGGAGCAACGCTGGCAACCTTGGAAGGCTGTTGCTTGCCTCACCAGGGCTCAGCAGAGGGCCTTGACCCCCCTTCCTTCTCCATAAGGAAATGTTGAGGCACTAGGGGGAGGGGCAGTTTCCACCAGAGCACCCAGCTTACTCAACACCCCCTCCTCCTCAGAAAGAGGCTGTCAGACCCTGCAGCCTTGAAAACCTGGGGGCATCAAAGCCCCAGGCCTCTTGCCCTGGCAGAGAAAGAACAAACTACACCATAAACCACAGGCAGAGAATCTAACTGGCCCCTGGGCAGTGAGAACAGACCCAAGGGTGAAAACCATGGCCTGAAACATTTCCAACCCTAGTCATCAGGGACATGCGATTTACAGGAAATTGGGCGATTTATAAAATGTTAGCCAGCTCAAGTTTCTTCCCTCAACCGAGAAGCAGGAGAAACTCTAAGAACTGTCTTAGTGAAGTGCTTTGTTCACAGCGAAGCCCCTGACACGTGTCAGTTACTAACAGCTCACCACCCCACACTTCAACCCGCCAGTGAATGTCAATAGAGCAGAAAAGCATTAACACAGGCTGCACCGGGAGCCTTCAAGCCCAGGACAGCCCAAGCCTCTCAAGAGGGACCTGAACAGCTAGCGACATGGTCTAAATCAGGTCTCTAGGATTTCCAGCATATTACTGACCCTTTTAGCCCCAGTCCCCCACCTGCATATGGGAATAACAAAACCTTTGCAGGAGTCTTGTCAAATGATGAGCAAGCACATCCATGTCTGGTCTTTGTAAGCCCTGATGGCTTTTGTTATTACAGTGGCGCTTCGGGGCTTTTAAAGACGGGTCTCCTGATTACTCCTCTCTTGCCAGGTCCAGGCCAGAGTTGAGTCCTGCAGGGGTAAGAACTGTTCTAGCCCAAGGTGGTTAGATACCAGCAGGGGCCCATGGGGGAAAGAGGGACAAACCCAGAGCTCTGCGATCAGGACCTCAATGAAGTGGCCCCTGTCCACCTCTCCAGACTCAGCTTTGTCCCCAGCCAGCACAGACCTCCATCCTATCCACAGTCTAACTGGGTGTCCAGGGCCCATGGTCTTGCCTGGCATCACCTCCTCTAGGAGGCCTTCCCTGACTTCCCACGTTGTCTGCTCTCATAACCCCTGATCGCCCGCGGAACTGGAGTTGACACTGTACCCCGCACACGGTGGGTGCCCCAACTAAGTCGGGTCACTGAATGAGAGCCGGGCCCTTGTTGTGACCAGAACCCTGAGCTTTGGGGCAGTGAAGGGTTGTTTATGAAGCAGGCTGCTTTTCGTTATTCAGCTGAATTTGACAACTCCCCCCGGCGGAGCTCTGAGCTTGTTAACGCCATTTTAAAAGGAGAGAAAGCACCCCAACTCCCCGAGGTCGGCTGCCCACCTCCCCGCGGGTCCTCGCCTGGGCAGGCAAGGAACCCGAGGGCGGTGATCACAAATGGGGCTTTTGGGGCGGTGGGCAGGCCCTCCCTACTGGAGTCTGGGTCGTGGCCGATTTCTCAATCGCACACCGTTAACGCTGGAGCCTGCTGCAGGGGCAAAAGGCCACTCGCCGCCAGTCCCAGAGCGCATTCCGCTAGAAGCGCGGCCCGGCCGGGGACGGCCACACCTCCGTCCCCGGAACAAAGCGCCAGCCCGGGCGGGGGGTCAGCGCGGCCAGGCTCCCTTCCCTCTCCTCCTCGCCCATCCACTGCGGCCGCGACCACTCACCGCACGCGCCAGCCCGGTCGGGGCTCAGGCCCTCAGGCCGCCTCCTCCATGCTCGCGCCGGACTGACGGCTCCCGGCCCGCGGGCCCGCCGGTCGCTCTGGCCCGTCCCCACCCCGGCGCCTCCTTAAAGCGACCGCGCAGCCCGCGCGCGCGGGGAGTGCCCGGCGCGCGGCGCATTCCTTATATTGCAACAGCGCCTGCTAAAAATAGAGCGCTGCGGGGGCGCGGGAGGAGCCCGGCCCCACGCCGCGACCCCCCGCCCCCGCCTGCACCCCGGCTCCAGGACGCGGCAGGCAGCGTCCGGGTCACCCGCGCCGAGTCTCCCTGACCGGGCAGGGCGTGTGAGCGGCGCCGCTGCCTTCCCCGCGGGCCGGAGCACTTACCCGGGTCCGACCCGTGGCGCCCTGGGGCTAGCTGGCTTGAACGTGGACGCAGAATGGGAATTGACCCCGGCCTCTTTAAGAGGAGCCTCTGTGCTCCAACCTTTAAATCTCCGCTTGGTCCGGCCAACTTCTGAGCCCAGGGTCGCCTCCCCAGTCCTAAGCGTTTGGGACTAGCCACCTTAACCACGTTCCCTTAGAATCCTGGGACGTGTTTCCTCCTAGATCCTGCCTCCAGTGCCGCTTCTCCAAGCCCTCTTGGTGCACCGTTCCTGGGCCCAAATTTCGTACAGATGGATGCAACCAGTACAGGCGACACTCGCGCTCCATTTCATTGTTTCAGTTCCGCTAACTCCTCCATTGGCGTCATTTTTTCCTTTTTAAAACAATAGAGATATAATTCACATACCATAAAATTCCACGTTTAGGGTATACAATTCAGTGGTTTTTAATGTATTCACGACTTTGTGCAACCCTCACCATTATCTAATTCCAGAATATTTTCATAACCCCCTCCCGCCAAATGTACCCATTTGTAGTGACTCCTGCTTCCCACCTTCCTCCGCAGCCCCTGGAAACCACTAATCTACTTTCTGTCTCTATGGCTTTACCTGTTCAGGACATTTCATATAAATGCAATCATACAACATGTGGTCTTATGTGACCGGCTTCTTACATTCTGCACAACGTTTTCAAGGTTTATCCATGTTGCAGCATGTAGCTGCACTTCACTCCCTTTCATGGCTGAATAATATTCCATTGTACGTGTGCACTGCATTTTGTTTATCCATTCATCAGTAGACAGACAGGTTGTTTGTACTTTTTTTTGGTATTATGAATAAAACTGCTAAGAACGTTTATGTACAAATCTTTGCATGAACGTATGCTTTCATTTCTCTTGGATATATACTTAGGAGTAGAATTGTGGGTCATAGGCTACTATGTTTAACATTTTGAAGACCCCTGAACTGTTTTCCAAAGTGGCTGCACTGTGTTACATTCTCACCAACAATGTGTGAGAGTTCCAATGTCTCCACATTTTCACCAACTCTTGTTATTGTCTGTCATTTTTTATTATAGCCATCCTAGTAGGGGTGACGTGGTATCGCATTGTAGTTTTGATTATCAGTGTCATTTTTGAGAATGTTGTTTTTGTGGATGGATGTCAATGATGACTTGGAACCGGCTTTACACATCCAGGGAACCCATCCTTATCATTTCGAGAGCTTCAGCCTCTACCCCAGGCCTAAGGGGACCTTACTGCCTTGAGTCCTTCATGCCAGGCTGGGGCTCCCAATTTGATGCAGGTTTCGATGGGCATCCCAAGTAACCATGCAGCCATTTGGTGAGCGCTGTTGTGCCCTTTGCATCTCTAAGTCCATCTGCTACTCTGAAGGTCCCATGGACCCCGAGAGTCGTCATGGCAGGGGAAGTGGATTGTATGTCACTTTGGTAGGGAGTAAAAGAACTGGCTGAGGATGGGGCTTGAGGGACAGCTGTTCATCTTGACTGGTCAAGTCTTGCTGTGGAACCTGCCTCTTCCTCCCCCTACCATTTACTACAGGCCTTAGGAGAGGCGGACAAGTGTCTATGTGTTCTGGTTGTCTGTCAGCCACTCATGGACTCCCTCCATCAAGAGACATCCTCTCCTGGGCCCTGACTGGCACAGTGGCCAGACTGCTGTCCTCAGCTTGAGTGGCTACAATATCTGCACAAACGTCAAAGATTTGTCTTTATACCACGTTCGTGCACAAATCTTTAATAATCTGTCTCTTCAGAAATAGAATCTAAACAGCTAGTAATAACACGCAGTTGCCTGGCATTCTCCAATGGTGAGATTAAACCCTGCAGACTGTGGCTGGGGTCTTATAACAGGGTTTCTGTCCCATTTGGGCTGCCTCCTTTGCTCTTTGAACCCTGAAGTAAAACATGGTTCAATTGCTGGCAAATCGGGACTTTAGAGAACAGGGTCACTGAGCAGAAAAATGAGGCCTGGGTTTGATAGTGCATTCATTCAGTAAACGCTGCCAGAGCACCTACTGTGTGCCAGGCACTGTGGCAGAGGCCTACCTCCAAGCACATTCAGAATGCCACTGAGGTGTAAGTGGTGTGGGAGAGAAAGATACCAGGGGCTGTGGGAGCCCAGAGGAAGGGCACCTAACCCAGTGCTGGGACAGGGTGAGTGCCCAGGGAAGGCTTTCTGCGAGAAGTGATGCGTGAGCCAGGGCTTAAAGGACAAAAACAATCAGCTAGGCTGATAGGGAGCGAGAAAACCTTATATGCTGAGGCATGAGTGAGCTGAAGTCTTTCCAAAAACTCCAGCAGATCTGAAAGGCTCAACAGGTGTATTTGGGGTATGGTAGAAGGCCAGACTCCTGACCAAAAACCCAGGCAGGACTCAGACCCAAGTTTCAGGCCCGGAGCTCCAAGGCCAGACACAGGCCAGGAGCCAGCTCCTGGAACAAGGCAAATGTCAGAGCCACCGAGCTGACCCAGAGTAGAATTTTTCAGCTCAATGACATGAGCAAGTGTGCCTCACCCATTGCAATATATCCTGTGCGTGCCTCTCTGGCCTAAGGCTTGTTGACTGCCATGCCTCAGGGCAGACCCAAGCTGGTGCGTGGAGGTTCAGTGGGAAAACCTGGGGAGCCGGGGGACTTCAGGGCCAGGAGCCAGCCAGGTCATTGTGGCACAACCTTCCTGCAGAACTCCCTGCCCCAGTGTAGTCCCTGAGGGTGAAAGCAGCTCTGAGGTCCTGAGAACTCAAGGTGTGTCAGACATGGGCATAGTGATGGGACCGCACACCTCCCAACACCTGCAGAAGGCCTTACCCACCCTGTTTTAGACATAAGGAGACCCCCCCCCCAAGCCAAATTCCACCCAGCCAGTAGACTGAGATACAAGGTATTCAGACCACGGAGTCTATACTCTTTTCCCTGCGCCTGTTGGCCTCGATGGGCAGGTCAGTGGGGTGTGTGTGTGTGTGTGTGTGTGTGTGTGTTGAGAGTAAGGGGAAGGTGAAGAGGACACCAGCACTCATTCAGACCACGGAGTCTATACTCTTTTCCCTGTGC